ACGGGAAATGAGGACGGAAAAAATTTCCCGTCCTCACTTCCCGTCCTGGGACAGGTAATGGAGCAGGAAAATGAAAAGACAGAAATGTGACATTTCATCATATATGGTTAAAAATAAACAGTTATTACATCATTTTGGTTCCCCGTTCCCCGTTCCCCCTACATATTATAGAAATTGTTTTCAGCGATTTTGAATTTTTTTTTTTTTGGTTCCTCAGATAGCCAATAGGGTACTTGCATCAATTTTTTTTATTGCTGATTTCGTTAGTCCATGAAAAATAAGTGAACAACGTGTTTTTTCTTTTTCTTCTTAGTCAAAAATTCACGGAGATACAACGCTATGAAATATGCCTATGACGTCACTTATCATATAAATTAGTGACGTTGCACATGCTCAGTATATCTATATGTACAGGGTGTCCCATTGAAGATGGGAATTGGGGTTATCTGCTAAACTCGTAGAGGTAGATTTTTTTTGATTCCACATTCCCGGGCCAATTTTTCATGACGAATCGAATGCCACAAACCGCAGGTCTCTATCTTGTTTCGTTTTGGAGATACAGGGTGAAACTTGAAATGTTCACTTTTCGAGGGTAGTCATTATCTAGGGTATAAAAAAAGATATCAAAAAGTTGAAAATTGTATCCGACACAGTTTTTTACGTAGATTTCATTGGCGTACTGGAATTTTTTTTCCGAGGTACCGCTTGAGAGATATGACACAAACTTCATCTTTTTTAAATGGGACACCCTGTAAATTTTTACATTTTTGGAATACGCATAAAATTACCTTTCCGATGATATATAATTTGTCTATATTATGTTGTAACTTGGCCAATATTATCATGGCATTTGAAACTTTCCATAAGAAATAACCCTTGTAATTTTTAAATGTGGGACACCCTGTAAAATAATAGTTTATTAAATCCTGTATTTTTCTCTATTTCAACAATATAGATATTACACTTTGTAGTTATACCTCTCCATTAACGTTAAGAAGAAATAGGTTCTGATTGCAAAGAAAATTGATGTCATTTCGGATTAACCGGTACCTACCTACAGTATATATCCTATAAAAAATAATCAAATATCTCACTAATGCTCAGTAACTGCATTTAATAGTCTAATGGCCGGTTTATTCACCTTCTGATAAACTGTCAGGCAATGTAATATGACGGATAAACTGGTAATCTATGAATAATCCGATTGGTTGGCCAGTTATCCGAAAACCAATGAGATTAGAGATTGGCCAATTTATCTTGTAGACAGTTAGGCTTTAGATCTTCCGCACATTGGGCAACTGGAAACAAACTTACTAGAAACTTGAATCGTCAATCAGTTGCTTATTAGTTGCCGCTTGTGTATTTCAATGAGCATCCGCACGCAACACAACTCGCTGGTAAGGAAACTCGTTGGTGATCTGTTAGCCGCAATCCGACATGCAGCGTCGCTTGGCGATTAGTTTCTATTTTATCCTGTGAACAAGCACGCAAAACGGCGAAAATTGGAGAATAATCCTTCAATTTTAGGCTACTTCAAATCCTATATGCATTTTATTATTTTTTGAATGTAGTGATAAACCCAATACCCATTTTCTTGTGCCGAATTCTTTTTTATGATAAGTGATAATATCTTGGATTATTAAACATTTTTGCTAGGAGAATAACAATATCCTAATCATAATAATAAAATAATAATTTAAACACAACAAAGCTACTATAATCAAGAATTGACTTGATTTTTCAGTAGCATCGTGTGTGATCCATATTCCATAGTTGGTGATTTAAGTTGCCAATTGGTTTGGTTTCTCTCTAGTTGCTTAAAATCTGCGGAGGGAGGACCTTGCCAGTGAGTTTATCTAACGATAAATGAACTGGCCTTAAGCCGACGCCACACGATGTGTCCAGCCATTGGTCCCAACGTTAGATCCAACGTTGGGTACAATGTTTGACACTCTAGCATTTGGCAAATGTGCCGCTACACGACGAGGCAAACATTCCTTCCCACATTGGAACAAACCTTGGAACAAAGGTTGGAGTATCGTTGTCAGTGCCGTTTCGTTTCAAAGTAGCACGAGTCAGGACAAGCATCGGAAAATAAACTTTTTTATAGCGCCACTGAATCTAACCTAAAAAATGGACGACTGTCAATCCTTGTGTGGCAGTGTCTCCAACCTCTGTCCAACATTGGAAGCCTTTTTTGAAGCGGGTCAAATTTACCGACTTTGGCTCAAACGTTGAGTGTGGCCAACGTTGGACACATGTTTGTCACGAGCCCACGTTACACGATGCCACAAACCGCTATGTGTCCAACGAAGTGTAATACCTATATCGTTGAAATGGGAAAAAAATATGATTAAAGGCCAATTTATCTATTTTCTGATAGACTGTCAGGTATGGTATGCACTCTAACGGATAAAAACGCAATCTGTAATCCCATTGGTCGGTCAGTTATCCGCCAACCGATAGGATTATAGATCAGTGAATTTATCTTGCAGATAGTTACTAGTAAGTTTATCTGAAGATGAATAAACCGGGCCTTATTCAGATAAACTTTGCTGGAAACTAATTGCAAGGAAAATTTACCATTCCATAATTCTAGTGGTCGGCAGATAACTGGCGGACCAATGGGAATACATAGGTATTGCGTTTTTATCCGTCATTGCATCTGAGAGACGACAGCAAATGATAGGCCTTAATGGCTTCGAGTAGTCCACGACGGACCACAAACTTTTGAAAAACAGCGACGCAGACACGAGACCAAAAAGAGGGCCCGCAGGAAGGAGCGAGAGAGCAGAGGAAGAGACCAATGTTGCCAGAGGCTGGGTTTGCCAAGACTGTGGAAGAGTGTGGGGTTCCAAAATTGGTATATATAGCCATTAGAAAATGCACAATTGACGACATTAAAAACAATACGAGAATATCATACTCGGTATCGAATCATCGCCTATTGTATGATGATGACCTTAGGCCCGGTTTATTCATTTCAATGGGATTACAGATTGAATTTTTATCCGTCATATTGCATATCTGAGAGTTCATCAGAAGATGAATAAACCGGTCCTCGATAAACTATTATTTCACAGGGAGTCCCATATCAATAGTTTCTCACACATTGAACCAGAAAATAAAACCATATTCAATGCGATTTCCAAAGGTTCTTATGGAAAGTTTCAAATACCATGATAATATTGGCAAGTTACAACATAATATAGACAAATTATATATCATCGGAAAGGTAATTTTATGTGTATTCCAAAAATGTAAAAATTTACAGGGTGTCCCATTTAAAAAAGATGAAGTTTGTGTCATATCTCTCAAGCGGTACTTCGGAAAAAAAATTCCAGTACACCAATGAAATCTACGTAAAAAACTGCGTCAGATACAATTTTCACTTTTTTGATATCTTTTTTTATACGCTAGATAATGACTACCCTCGAAAAGTGAACATTTCAAGTTTCACCCTGTATCTCCAAAACGAAACAAGATAGAGACCTGCGGTTTGCGGCATTCGATTCGTCATGAAAAATTGGCCCGGGAATGTGGAAACAAAAAAAATCTACCTCTACGAGTTTAGCAGATAACCCCAATTCCCATCTTCAATGGGACACCCTGTATATACAAAACTTAATATTTGTATAACTTCCGGAATAATCATATTTGGGCGAAATTAAAAAAAAGTAACGATTTTTTTTCGATTTCCTACAGTTTGCAATAAACAATAATCAATTTAATTTTCCATGCAAGTACCCTATTGTAAGTTTTCAAAGTGTCACCCTGTAGATTAATTACCTATCATAAATTTAAATAAGCCCAAATTTATATAAAATAATGAAAATATAGTAACTTAATGACATTTTTGTACTAATGAATAAGAATTCAATATCGAGAAACTTTAAAAAATTGCAATGTTTTTCTTTTACCCTGATTTATTTAGCTATAGCTCCTGCTACAAAAAAAAGTTTCATATAAAAATTGTAGAAAATTCAATTTTCTCTATTTTTGGTTTTTAACACTTTTTTCCTAAAGTTGACCGTTCATGAGTTATATTAGAAAAACCATTTTTGTGCACACTAACCCTAAGATGGCGGAGGAAGCCGGCCCCGCCCAAGGTCGAAAACTCAGATTTTTGTTAACGACTTCAATCTAAACAACATATGTCAAAATCACGACTACCCCACCTTTTGCAAGCTGCGGGTCTTTTTTTCGCTCTAATGATTGGCCTAATACAATTTCTTTCAAAAGTTTGTCAGCTCTATCTTCTATCTCATACAACAGTATTTTAATTCTTTCTTTTGTTTTTTAACTTCGTTTTCAATTGTTCTACTTGTTTCCCGTATTTCTTCTCAACATTTTCGGAACAAACAAAATCCCTGTTGGGATTCTAAGTTTTCTATTTTTCTTCCTAAACAGCTACTATGCCATATTCTGTGACATGTTTTATTTTTACATTCATACTGAAATATTATGAAATTATGAACCTGTGACCTGTGCCTCTTTTTCCAAGGCTACTAAGTTCTATAAATTCATGAGGATTTTCATTACTCCAACTGCAGTTGTTGTGCTTGTTTACAAATCCTTTTGAAAAAAAGACACTTGATCAATGATCATAGCAACCAGCAGTTTGCAAAACTTTCTATCAAAATATTCGGAAATATCGACTTTTATAACATGTCAGGGGACGAAAAAATTGACCAATTTGGATAATTACTGAAAAAAGGATTTATTGATCTGATGAATCTTGATACCAAATGGATCAACTTGAAAAAGTATATTCATTGAATAGACCTTCAAAAGGAGGTCACCAGACACCCTTTCCCATTCAAGATTTTTGAGATCGCTTTGGGGGCTATTTTGTATAAAAACACGTTTCGACGAATTTTGAAACTCTCGGATTTGAGAAAAGAAAAGAAAAGAAACGGAAGAAATATCTTAATTTAAAAATATTATGAAAGGTTCTGGTTATTTAAACCTTACTATGGTATATAGGTGGTATAGCTTACCTTACAAAAACCTCAAGAGAAACCTTCTGATCAATTTCAAACGAAGGTTTCACAAATCTAGTCTTAACTTCAATACAGGAAACAATTTGCGACATATCTAAATTGATTATAGAAATGTCGCCACCAAATACAGGTTGCCAAAGAATGATGGCAGTTTGTAAAACGTCATGAGGCAACTTTGGATCACCATATGGGATTTGCTTCTGGAAAAGAGAACAAATTTTATTAGTATTGTGCTCAAAATATACCAAGCCCAAGCCTAATAAACCAGGAGATATTTATAGCAGTTAAGAAATTATTTAGGAAAATTTTGTTATAGTCTATCATTTCTCAAATGAGACAAGGCAAAAATTGGGGTCTCCTCAAATTATCGTATTGCCCATTAAAATTATTATACTATTATTAGGAAAAATATATTGATCGTGCCCGTATACATTGGATGCCAATCCACTTGCGAACAACGCATCTTATTGGTTGTTTTATACAGTCAACGTTGACTCCAGGAATATCTTATTGGTTAGAATTTTTAGCGGCGTATTTCTTTGAAGAGGCGGCTTCTTTGGCGACATATTTCTTTGTAGCGGCCGCCGTTTGCGAATCAGTTTCGTCTGGAAAGACAGTGCAGTAGATAGTTTTTATAAATTTGATTCCTATTTGAGTTGTATCGTGCCTCATGTTTTATTTTATATAAAACTGTTTTAATAAATTTCCCTTACTCCGCTGGTGCTTCATAAAGAAAACGCCGACAGCCAAAGGAATATTATTTTTTTTACTGTCTCATTTGACTATCGATAGACTATACAAATATCTATCACAATTTCTAGTATAAATGTTGTGTATGCAAATGCAATTCAAGTCTCTTATTAGGTATACCGGTCTGGCAAGTGAACATCTTATGCAATAGAATGAATGCAATAGAATGAAATGTCTAGAAAAAGTCTAAGGTTGAATAGAGAACGGAAACGATTTCCCCTCCTCCACCTCCAGCGTTCTCAGCGCTGCATGCTGGAGGTGGAACAGGGGAAATCGTTTTCACTCTCTATTTAACCTTAGGCTTTTCCTATACATTTCATTCTATTGCATTAAAATTGGCCTGTAAGATGCTGGCTTGCCAGACCTGTATATATAGTTGCTGCACAATTTCCAAATTGTTTTATATTTTTTTTAAATAGGTACTGTAACAGTTAAAGCAAAAGGGTCTCTTGATTTATCAGGCCTTCAATTAGATAGAATAGATACAAAATTAGGATTTACCTTCAGAATCCTATTTAAATTTTCATATATTCGACGTTTGTCTTCAATACTAAGTTCAACAGACGAACCTAGAACTTCAAAAGAAAGCTGCATGTAGTCTTGAATGTTGGCCGTTAAGTAAGCGCACCTGACAGCCTTTTCTAGAATATTCGAAATTATACAGTACCATTTTTCTTCTCTGTAATCGGAAAGCATGTGAGTCAACAACCTAAAATATATAAAAAAAAAACATTTATTTCAGCAAAACAAATACAAAATACTCACGTAAGTGCTTTTCCAAAATCTTTAGAATTATAACATTCATCGGCCATTTGCAATACCAAATGCCTTCTTATTCTGGGACATTTATAAATTTTGTACTGCGCAATTGCTGAACCATATAAAGAAATTATAATACTCTAAAATATTTTCAGTAATTAGTGTCGAGAAAATCACTTCACTAAAATATTTACGGAATGATTTATTTGATTTTCCAAATACTGTATAGCTTCAATACCGTTAGCCTCTGTAGAGGGATCTGGAGGCTCTGCTGAAACTTTTCCTGGCCTCCAAGGTCTTTGTCCGAAAAATTCCATCCTCTCCAAGCCTTCTAACGGATCCGGATGAGGATATGCGATAATTTTCTAAAATAGTTTCACATAAATAAAATAAGCATTGTTTTATAAGACAAGTTCAACACACAGAACAAAGATTATGAGAAGCATCTTTCCTGGATATTGCATATTGTGCCGCCTGTTGATAATAAATCCCTGGATGTTGGATCTGTACAGCTGGCAGGCCCTGTTTAACAGCTTCATCAAAAATATCGCCAAATATTTCGTATCTAAAAATTGGTGTTAAAAGCCTTTGGAATTTTAAAAATAATGATTCCACTTACTGTTTTGATAGCCAAGCGTAATGTTCAAAAACCAACTCTTGAAATCCTAATCGATTTTTAAACTTGTCAATGTGTCCTTTGAACTGGGATATTGCGTCTCTAGGTAGACTGAGAGCGAATAAGAGCTTGCAAATTTTGTAGTTTATGAATCCCGCTACTGTTCTCACTTCTAAAGCGTTAGTGTCCACTATTCTTATTTCTAAAAGATTGTTATAAGCTAGCGTGTAGTGCCTAAAAATTTGAAGCGTTAGTTTTTTTTTATTGAATAAAGAAAAATATTTACTTGTGCGCAGAATGTAAATCCTGCTTCAGTTCATTCAGAAATCCCATTTTGAACTGATGGCGAACATATAGATACTGATGAGAATTTTTGTTCAGATGTTCTTTGTGCATTTTCACAATTTTAACGCGGTTGTGGTAATAGTTTTGACAAAAATCGAAAAATGCCGTTTCCAATCTGATGGTGTAACCCTATAAGTAACAAAAATATAGATTTGAAATAATATGTATGAAGTTTGACATTTATGTTCTAGTCTTAAAATCTCTTCAAGAGTTGGATACACTAACTAGTTACCAGAAGATTAATGACTTGGATGAAATTATAGTATAGCCATAGATATTTTCCAAACCATATATGAAAACAAGATTGTTGCTATTTTGTATCTTTATTGGAGTCTGTCCTGTGAGTGAATGTTCCAAGAAACAAATTCGCTCACAAACTGTAAATTATGAACAGGATCTTTGCATAAGTTGAAAGGAATCCTACGAATTTTTTTAAATATTCTCACTTGAGATAAAATTAGATCGTGGAACGCACAAAACTTTTGAAAGTAAACACCGAACGAAGATGCATTGTTTTACAGAGTTTGGGAAGTACTGGACATTTTCGCATACTCTAGAGATAATCAAACCATTTTTGGGGGTGCTTGTAATGAGAATTTCCATAAAATTTATTCTGATGATGATGTTGCAATGGGATTTTTAAAGAATTCAGTGTATCATACGCCTTATGTAGGATGCTCCGTCAATCTTCAACTAGCGTTAGATTTCCTGAGGCTTGCAACCAGTCATTATATGTATAACACCAGTATTTAAAAGTTGAAAAAAGTTAGAGGTTTCGAATTATAGAGCTATCACCAAGTTCTCTTTATTCCTAAAATTGTTTGACCCTATTGTATAATCAAAATTAGATCCCCAACTTGAAGGAATTATAGTAGAACATCAGCATGGATTTATTATTGGCAGATCAACAGTTACTTAAAAACTTACTAGTATATGAACAGATTCTAATACAGTCACTGGAAGCCAAACGACAAATCGACTCCATTTATACTTATTTAAACAAGGCTTTTGATAAAGTATATCATAAGGTATTAATGGGAAAGCTGCTAGCTTTGGGATTTTTTAGAAGTATGCTTGGCTTGGTGTCGTAGTTATCTTGGAGATAGATGTCAGTTTATGAAAATGAACTGTGTAATATCTTTGTCAGTGATATCTATACTGTTGTACAGCACTCTGACATACTTTGGTATGCACATGATCTAAATTTATAAATGTAAATGCATTGAATCCATTGAAGAATGTGAAAAAGTTCAGGAAGACATTAATCATTTGATTTCTTGGTGTAACCTAATACAAAAAAAAATAGATTTATGCGTTTCTATCGAAAAACGAACATCATTCAGTTTGAGTACAGTATAAATGATGAAATCTTAGAGAAAATGGACTGTATAAAAGATCTGGGAGTTTCCTTTGACAGATAACTTTCCTATATCAATAACCATATTATCCTTGTGTGATATAAGCTTTATTTTAAGACCACAATTTTTCAAATCAGACAAAAATTAAAGAAGTTCCGGGCAAATAAAATCCAGCGCGACCTTTTTGGTAACACTATTTCTAAGAATAGGGTAGGATTTCCAAAAGAATACACAACAATATTAGGCTTATCTAGACTATTTATTGCGAAATCGAAAACAAAAACCATTATGTGTCTTGCAGGGCGCGCTGACATCGTTGATCGAAAGGCTTATGATTTTCGGACCCACTTTACTGGGTCACCCTGTATAGTTAGAGATTTGATGAAAAATGCTTATTTTCGCGAGTACTACAACATACCAAATTTCAAAAAAAAAACGACTGGTTCCCAAAAACCCATAAGATGTGTGTGATGTCCTTTGGAGTGTTTTGAAAATTTATGTAACTGGCTTAATGATGACTATGGTACAATAATAGCAGTGAGAAGGATTACTCAACAATCCAGTATTTTAGCTGATTCTCTGGCATTTCTAAACTTATATCAAGTTAATAACATTAAAAATGTTACAAGTAGTCTTCTCGTTTTTGATTTTTTCAAACGAATTTTTTGAAATGAATGTAGCAGATGATGCTTTGTTACCTTGTGACAAATATCACCCAGCCCTTTTGTTTAAGTGTAAGAATGTATTTGATTTTATGACTATGCAGTATGATACGTACTACTATGATTTTTAAACCTTCCCAATAGGATACTTGCATCAATTTTTTTTATTGCTGATTTCGTTAGTCCATAAAAAATAAGTCAACACTTGTTTTTTTCTTTTTCTTCTTAGTCAAAAATTGCCGGAGATACAACGCTATGAAATATGCCTATGACGTCACTTATCAAATAAATTAGTGACGTTGCACATGCTCAGTATATCTATATATACAAAACTTAATATTTGTATAAGTACCGGAATAATCATATTTGGGCGAAATTAAAAAAAAGTAACGATTTTTTTTCGATTTCCTATAGTTTGCAATAAACATTAATCAATTTAAGTTTCCATGCAAGTACCCTATTATATAGATCTAAATTTGTATCTTAACAGTTTTGATTTTGAAAACTTGTTGAGTAACTAATCTTGATTCAAATGTGTAAGTTCTCTATGATTATATACCTAAATGATGCAGTGAACTTATTTATTCCTAGAAGAAGGTCAAAGTTTCCAAAATTTCTAAAATAGTTCAGTGATCAATTGAAAACATCTGTGTTTGGAAAAATTGCACACAAAAAGTACAAATTATCCATTCTGCAAGAGGATTATACTAAATTCTCCAGTTTACGAAACAAGTGTAAGACACTATCACAGGAAAGTCTATGTCAACTCTAAGAGGCAAGCTTACCAGTTACCGAATGTAATGAGTTATCACAATATTGTTCCTGAAGATCCGAATACAATTGTTAATAACTTTGCAGACCTTTTTGCTAGGTAGTATACATCACATGAAAAAGTTGATGATTCTAATCATGACTTAGAAGTTGTCAATAGTGTTAATTTATCATCTTTGTGTATAAGGTAAGTTGAGATCTTTGAGTGTATTGAAAAATTGAATGACCGCTTAGGTGCGGGTCCGGAAGGTTTGACTCTATTTTTTGTAAAGTCATGTGAATGTGTACTGGCACCAGTCCTATGTAAGTTACATAATTTGTCACTACAAATCGAAATATATCCTAGTGATTCTAAGAGAACATTATTAGACCAACTTTCAAAAATGGTGATCGTCCTAAAACTGAAAACTATAATCCAATCTCTAAAATAAATGTTTTGGCCAAGATGTTCGAATCAATAATTTCAGACAAGATAACTCCGCTTTTCAAAAATATTATAGTTTCTTAGCAGCATGGCTTCTGCAAAGGAAGATCAACTGTCACAAATATGCTAGTTTATACTGACACATTGTTACACTCTTTGGAGAGTGTTTATCAGGTGGATGCCATTTACACTGACTTTTCAAATGCGTTTGACAGAGTGAATTACTAGTTATTTATGCACCAAGTGAGTTAAATGTGTGTTTATTTATGAGAAGAAAGTTTAACCCACGAGCCCTGGCGAGTGGGTTAATTTTCTTCGAATGAATAAACATTTTAACTCACGTGATGTATACAAAATTTTATTCCATTTTGTGGAAATTTAAAAAATAAATTACAAGGAAAAATGCCGAGAGTGAGTTAAAAATATTTTAAATCACTGAGAGGTCAGATTTTCAGTTAGGCAGAGTGACTTAAAATGCCGAGAGTGAGCTAAAAAAAATTTAAATCACTGAGGTGATAAACGTCTACTTACCTTCATTGTTATGGGTTCAATAATGTAATTTTTAAACATCAAAATGGGATAAAAAATTTTAATTGCAAAGCTGGGTTGCCTTGGTATTCATGGTCCACTCTTATCTTGGATTGGAAGTTATCTGACTGATAGAGAGCAAATCGTTAGGTATAATGATTACTTTTCTAACAACATAATTGTTAGTTCTGGCGTGCCTCAGGGTGGACATTTAGCATCATTGTTTTTTAACTGTTATATTAATGATTTAGTTCAGTGGTTCCCCAAGTGGGCGATAACGCCCCCCAGTGGGCGCTACAACCATCTCGGGGGGCGGTAAAGAGCCCAGCTGATTTTCTGATTTTGGGGAGAGGTAAGCATAAACTAGTAGGCGGTGGAAAATAAACGAACAGATCAGAAAAAAAATTTAAATCAAATAGTAAATGGCTTTTTACGGAAATTACTCTTCAATACTATGAAGATAAGGCTGATAGGCAGTCTATTTCTATGCCTTTCGGAGTCAATTTTGGCAAGCTTCCAGTTATGAACGCAACCCGAGAGTTCCGACGCAAATCCCGAAGCCCGCACTCACCTCAACTAAGTCTGCTATGACTTGCTCAAAATGCGATACCGCTAATACACGCATTGATCAGCAGCAGCTGCATTAAAGTTATTGTATTTTACTTATAAATAACTTCAAAAAGCTCAAAAATAATCTCCGTCAAGTTAGCCCCTCCATATTCGAATTTTCTAACAAAATTGCAACCACTTTGAACTAGTTTGAACTGTGCTGTTCTGATACCAAAGTTATAGGAAAAACAAGATGAGGGGCTAACTTGACGCTCAGCCTCAGCCCCCCAAAAATTTTGGAAATCCGCTCAAACAAAAATGAATTCTTATGCAATTGGAATAAGTGTACTGTGCTGTATTATAGGTTTTTCTCAAAATTTCCATATTCAGTCATTTTCCGACCAAATCCTACTGGGGGTGCTAACTTGACGCTCAGCTCTCCAAAAGTTTGGAAATCAGATGAAACAAAAATGGATTCCTATGCAATTTGAAGTATGCTGGACTGTGTTGTATCAGGTTTTTCTCGAAATTTCCATGTTCGGTAATTTTCAGGCAAAACCATATCGGGGGACTAACTCAACGCTCAGCCCCCAAAATTTTGGAAATAACATGAAACAAAAATGGACTCTTAGCTAACTTGACACTCAGCCCCCCCTCACAAAAACAAAAAATTTGCAAATCAGATCAAACAAAAATGGATACCTATGCAATCTGAAGAGTGCTGGACTGTGCTGTATCAGGTTTTTCTCAAAATTTCTATATTCGGTTGGAGCTAACTTGATGCTCAGCCTCCCAAGATTTTGGAAATAAGATGAAACAAAAATGGATTCTTATGGA